TGGGCATCTCCTACCTGCCCTGCTGTAGGAATAACCCAGCACGTGGGCATCTCCTACCTGCCCTTTTGCAGGAATAACCAAGCACTTGGGCATCTCCATCACTGCAAAAGGCCGTCTGCAGCAGGACAGTGGTAAGCAAGAGGGAAAGGAGGCTATAAACTGAAAGCTTGTTTCTCTTCATTGGTTTCCTTCCCCTTCTGGCCCTTACACACCAGGCAGCAACTGCATGGTCAGCTTTAAGCATCAAACCACTGAAGGACATTGGCTTTTGGGGAGGGAGAAAGAATTCCCAATTAGTATTTTAGATCATTGCTCTTGGTAAACTAAGCGCTGATTTAGAAAGAGCTAATTCAGAAGACTGAATGAAGTTTGTATCGGGAAGTGACATTACACAACTTCCTATTTGTAAAATTAATTTTTGCAAATTAGYAGCAATCCAAGACACACAGGCTCCCTGTTTCTCTCCATTTCTCCCAGGCAGAGTTATATGAACCTTCTCTTTGATAACACAAAATTTATCCCTTCAGTAATTTCCCCGGTGTTGAACAATAGTTAAGATTGGAACCAGGAAGAAAACGTATTAAAAAGCAAAAAGGAAGGCTTACAGCTAGCGTTCTGGAATGACACCCAAATTAACAGCAGGGGCTTGTGCTGTTAGTCATCTGCAAGCGTCGTTTCCTCCAGGTTGTAGCATATGGGCTCTGACTAAGTTAGTTATACAAGCRAGAGGCTGGTTTTCACCTGCGTTTCTTAAGCAGGCTCTGTGCGAATGGGTCGCTTTAACCTGTGGAGTCAGGTTCCACCAAAGCCCAGGAATCAAAATTTGCTTAAGGGGAAGAAAAAAAAGAAAAAAAGATGGGAAGAGAGAACCCAAAGCTCCCCCAGGAGAGGGGGAAGGCGGCAAGGACAGCACGGCTCCTTCCCCGGCACAGCCTTACCCAGACTTGTGTGTCAAGCTGTCCTTTAAATACTGCCTCGTTTTGGGAATGTTACAACTCACACACGTGTACTTGCTGCTGCTGCTTATCCCATTTTGCATAGCAGGACAAAGTCCTCATTTTGGAGAGA